ACTGACATCAGCTCTCATCCCTCCCCCACCCAATCCTCCTCCCCCCCACCCAATCCCTGGTAGATGGGGGGTGGCATGATGAAGGGTGAGGATGCACCATGGAACAGGCTGGAGCCGGGGAACCGGCCGCACAGGGCGACGCCCCCTTCCAACAACAGGGGCTTTTAAGCACCCAATCTACGCATCCCCCTTTTATCTGAAACGACAGCTTTCAAACCAATCGAAGGATTTACTAAGTCCAGCCAGGCCAGGGGCACAAGGGCTGCCATTGAAATGTGGGAGGGAGGGAGAGCTCTGTCCATAAGGTCGTTGGTGGGCCCTACAAGAATTCAGTCCACGAACGAAAGGCTATCCTTGTCCTTTATCAACTGTTAAAAGTCGTGTTTACTTCCCCAAAGCAACAGCACAGTACAGTAGAGCACAGCAGAGTACAGTACAGTAAAGTGTAGTTCAGTACAGTTCAATACAGTAGAGTGCAATACAGTAGAGCACAGCAAAGTACAGTACAGTAAAATTTACTATATTGTACTGTACTGTACCCTGCTGTACTTTACTGTACTGAACTAAACTCTACTGTGCTGTCCAAACCCGTGTAGCTCAGTTGGTAGAGCATGGCGCTTGCAATGCCAGAGTTGTGGGTTCGATTCCCACGGGGGACCAGTATGAAAATGTATGCACTCACTAACTGTAAGGCGCTCTGGATAAGAGCATCTGCTAAATGACTAAAATGTAAACATAGACGTCCACTCCGGACTGACTAAATTTGGTCTTGTTTGGGGCGGAGCTCATTAGAATAATACCCAGCATGCTTTGCAAGTGTTCATTTTACATCTACATTTTAGGCTTTTGGCAGACACTCTTATCCAGAGCAACTTACAGTCAGTGCATTCAACTAAGGTCAATAAACAACCACATATCACAGTCATAGCAAAAAAAAACTTTTCTGTAACCATTACTGAGAATGTTATTGAAGTTGAAGCCTTCTTTTGGTTTTTCTTTTAAAGTATAATCTTATCACTACAACTGATTAACTATTGAAAAAGCTGACATGAGTGGGAAAATACATATTTTCAACTTTCATTCAGAAAACCAATGAACTTCATTTCAATGTCACATTATTTTGCTCACTGGGCTATGTGTTGACAAAATGTCTACCTGTGAATCCCTGATTCATTGAGATGCAATTATCTCCATTAACTTGGAGGAGGAGATTTGAACAATAAGCATATGGAGCGTGCCCAAACAAGGCCAAGCAAAGTGAGATGGTTTATTGTCTATAAACCTAAGCTTTTACTGCAGAACGTCCGAATGAAAAGCTTTTTGAAGATGTCACCAGGTCAATTAGTTGTCCCTTGTCAACAGACTCCGCGCATAATGACTTGCCTGTAATTGCGTAAGAACGGCCTCTCGCGTGACTCAGCAAGTCACTATCAATGGCAAAGCATGCCACAGGAGTCTCTTCTCTAAGATAAATATTCATTTTGTAAATCCAAGCCAGAAATGGTCAAAAGTGATCTATTGTCTGCATTAGAACGCATGCGCAACCATTACCGTAATCTTAACATAATTTCCCAATATTCCAATACCCCCTCCCCGTTCAGACTTTCAAAGTCCTACACTGGCTTCTAATCGTGAAGTATAGCCCAGTATAGCCCAGTCATTGCCTACTGGCTCGTTGGGAGTGCGAAGATTGCATAAACGTTGCTCTAGTCTCGGGGCATTTTAATGGAAGGTAAACCAGGCAGACAATTACCGTAACTCGCTGATGTTATCTAAACTCGGGAGATCAATTCGAATGTGTATAATTGCACTGTTAAGCCGCTGAAAATAAGAATTCCCTTCTCCCTGCCTTCAGCCACTTCAAAATGAAATTATTCTCTAACCAAAGGACCCCCCTTTTTTTGGACGAGGCTACGCCTGATATGCCGGCATCAAAGGGAAACCCGACAGCCGTTATGGGAGCCTGAGGCTGGCTGTGGTAACTTCTCTGAGGTGAGCAGAAATCATGATTTAAGATGGAAAGACTAAATAACGCCAACAAAACCACGCCACACACATTCCATTGTCTGCAATATAGACAAGTCTACCACATAATTCCACCCACCAACCTATGAATTAATTATAATTATGTATACCAAAAATATAGGAGCATAGAAAACCTAAACCAACGCCACATATGGGTGATAATTTGGCAACTGGAAGGTTAATTGAAGATCACCATCTTTTTTTGTCAAACCCTTCCGAAACAACCGTCTGACCTCAAACAAGGCAGATAGGCTAGTTTGGGTTTGTGTGACGCCTGCGGAGATGCCTTTTGGCGTGGAATGGAGACATGGCTTTTTCTGCGTCTGTTGTGCATTGAATAAATTGATGATTTCTACTCTCTCCAAGCACGCAGGCCTAAAACATTTCCAAGGTAAGGCCAAAATATAATTTTTTCCAATAATGCCATACGTATTTATCTTATCACATGTCCACTATACTAAACTCATGCAGGGGTTTGGGGGAATGATACAGTGTAATGTCCTGAAAAGTTCAAAGGACTGCCCTCTCCAAACGTTATCATATAATTTGGCGCAGTCGTCTGATTAAATAAGTGATTTAACAGTCTATTGTCTAATGGGGCACAGGTTGGAGACAGGCGTCTTTATTCTGTCTGCATGAGCCGCTGAAGACAAAGGCAGGAGACAGACGTCTAACCTTTGAATCTTCAGAGGAAGGGTATCGCCAATGTCGCATCGTTCAGTCGTGCCCCCAACGCTAAACCGTCAGAAACAATAGGATTGCTCCTCAAGTGTCACCAACAATCAATTTCAACTATCTGCCATGATGGCTATTGGATTAGCAAGTGTCTAACCACCACATGTTAACCTAATTGACATAAATGTGAAATTTGAGCATATTGTAGCCTATCCCCAAGTATCCCATGCCTAGGCCTATGTGTTCTCCAACTGTTGCATTATTCGCTATACTGATAAACTGTAAAAAGTGATCTTCATCTATCAAAACATTAATGTAGACCATCAATTCTTAAAAAATACACTACATGACCAAAATTATGTGGACACCTGCTCATCGAACATCTCATTCCAAAATCATGGGCATTCATATGGAGTTGGTACCCCCTTTGCTGCTATAACAGCCTCCACTCTTCTGGGAAGGCTTTCCACTAGATGTTGAAACATTGCTGCAGGGACTTGCTTCCATTCAGCCACAAAAGCATTAGTGAGGTTGGGCACTGATGTTGGGCGATTAGGCCTGGCTCTCAGTTGGCACTCCAATTCATCATAAGGTGGTCGATGGGGTTGAGGTCAGGGCTCTGTGCAGGCCAGTCAAGTTCTTCCACATCGATCTCGACAAACCTTTTCTGTATGGACCTCGCTTTGTGCACAGGGGCATTGTCATGCTGAAACAGGAAAGGGCCTTCCCCAAACTGTTGCCACAAAGTTGGAAGCACAGAATCGTCTAGAATGTCATTGTATGCTGTAGCGTTAAGATTTCCCTTCACTGGAACTAAGGGGCCTAGCCAAACCATGAAAAACAGACCCAGACCATTATTCCTCCTCCACCGAACTTTACAGTTGGCACTATGCATTCGGGCAGGTAGCGTTCTCCTGGCATCCGCCAAACCCAGATTCATCCATCGGACTGCCAGATGGTGAAGCGTGATTCATCACTCCAGTGAACGTATTTCCACTGCTCCAGAGTCCAATGGCGGCGAGCTTTACACCACTCCAGCAGACACTTGGCATTGCGCATGATCTTAGGCTTGTGTGTGGCTGCTCTGCCATGGAAACCCATTTCATGTAGCTCCCAATGAACAGTGCTTGTGCTGACGTTGCTTCCAGAGGCAGTTTGGAACTCGGTAGTGAGTGTTGCAACCGAGGACAGACAACTCGGTGGTCCCGTTCTGTGAGCTTGTATGGCCTACCACTTTGCGGCTGAGCCGTTGTTGCTCCTAGACGTATCCACTTCACAATAACAGCACTTACAGTTGACCGGGGCAGCTCTAGCAGGGCAGAAATTTGACAAACTGACTTGTTGGAAAGGTGGCATCCTATGACGGTGTCACGTTGAAAGTCATTGAGCTCTTCAGTAAGGCCATTCTACTGCCAATGTTTGTGTATGGAGATTGCATGGCTGTGTGCTCGATTTTATACACCTGTCAGCAACGGGTGTGGCTGAAATAGCAGAATCCACTAATTTGAAGGGGTGTCCACATACTTTTGTATATATAGTGTAAGTCCTTTTCTCAAGCATGAATCACTCCAAGCTGGATGATGCCAGATATTAAACCGAACATTATTTTATTTGGAAGAGACAGAGTATCAGAAAGATTCCTCTGTTATCATGAATTGCAAAAATTACTTGAGTACATTTTCAAATAGCCATCAGGCTAAGTATCAGATGCAAATGTGTTCAATCCAAATTCATATAAAACAGTCATGGATACTTTTGCTGTCAACTTTTCATTTTTCACAACCCATGTTATCTGATTTTTACAGTTATTTCAAAATAATAAAAAACGGAATCCAACTCAAGGGACCTATCTAATAAAATCATTGGTTTAAAGATCAATGTAAAAAGGTGAATTAAAATCAATGTACATTTCTGATTACTTCAACTGATTCATAACAAATCAGTGTTGTGATCATTTCACACAGTGCTCTAATTTAAGTACACAATTGGTGTTTCTTGTGTTCTGCTCAAATGTAATATTGGAAGGCAATTTGTTTTTATTTTTTGGATGTGTATAATATCAAAGCAATAAATAGTACCAGTAAATAAACTTTACTTTTTATATTTTTTTTAAAACTATTTTCTCATTTAAAAAACCCTTATACAATCTAATATACATTATGAAAAGTTGTACAGCTTTTTATTTATGTTTAAAATAAGGACTCACTTATTTTTTTATATGTAGATATATATATATATATATATATATATATATATATATATATATATATATATATATATATATATATAGTCAAAATATATGATCATATTGTCAAGAAAATAAAATAAAATGACGAACATACGTCTCAACATAAAAGTTATAAATAAGGGTCCAAGTGAATTTGGGGAGTAAGGTGGGGCCTTAAGAATTTTCTTAGCGTCTGTGCTGCCTGCCTCAAGTTGCCCATAGTCAGTGTTAGCGGCAGCCGCACCCTTCCACTACCATTTCCTGGTAGTTTTTTAAGACCACCTTGTCGTGTTCATCCAGGTAGAGCATGGAGATGGCACTGAGCTCCGTGGGCACACAGCAGGCCTTGGGAATGTTGGTGTTCACAGAGTTCACCAACGTCTGCACAATCGCGTGGTTGGTAGAGTTCAGGTGGTCCGCCAGGGGGAAGGGGCACTCCCCATGGCAGTAGTAAGCCTGGTACCCTGGGGGTGCCACTATCCAGTCATTCCAGCCTACATCGCTGAAGTCCACGTAAAGAGCGTGACGGCGGCAGTTGCGGTTGCGCTTACGCCCCCGCTGCTTTGGGCTGCGCTTGGCCCGGCGCGTCAACGGGTGGCCCTTGCCATCGTGGCCGAAGGTGACCAGCAGGGGGCGTAGCTGCTCCCAGTCCTCGCCGGGCTCCTGGTGCAGCGAGCGGCTGATGCGCACGTGGCGGCCCTGGTGGCGCGGTGTCTTGTTGAGGTGCTGGACCTCCACGGCCAGCCCGTGGTTGGGCAGGCGCTCCTGTGTCCAGCGCAGCACGGCGGGGCTCACGTCAAAGCTCTCCCAGCGCGAGGCGTTATGGCGCACAAGCCGCGTGTCCAAAAGCCGTGTGATTAGCTGCCCGGCCCGCGGGGGCTTCAGCACCTCATACACATTTATCCGGTGGAGCCCATCCTTGTCTCCCTCGCTTTCCGTAATGGCCTCGTCGATCTGCTGCCGGAACAGACGCAGCTCGGCCGATGAGAGCAACTCGTCCTCTGGGATGTTGCTGAGGTTGAAGAGGAAGCGCAGCGGGATGGCCTCTCCGTTCTTCATCTGAGGCTCGCCCGGATGAACCGGCTCCATGTGCTCTGAGAAAGACAACAGGACACAGTCAATGTCAGCACTTTTACCAAGGGAGTCCGTATGGGCTGCCATCTTGACTAATGACATCCTGTATGGATTTGATTTAAGAGTTTATCACTGAGTATTTTCATATTTTATCTTTGCCTCCGAGTTCCCTTCACTTCCCTCTTTATTACTATTAATTTGTTCCCTCCAAAACTATTACACCGTCGGTTGTTTAACAGTTTAACATCTTCATGATTGCAACCACACAGTTTTACATGGCCTGCAGTTATGTCTTGGAAGACAGCTTTCTACCGTACAAAAACACATATCTCTGCAGTCTAACATGCCTTAATTGACACAAAATAATGTCCACGTTCACTTGGGAAAGCCTCCGGGGACTGAGTGTACAAATATACACTACCGTTCGAAAGTTTGGGGTCACTTAGAAATGTCCTTGTTTTCGAAAGAAAAGCAATTTCTTTCTCCATTAAAATAACATCAAATTGATCAGAAATACAGTGTAGACATTGTTAATGTTGTAAATGGCTATTGTAGCTGTAAACGGCTGATTTGTAATGGAATATCTACATAGGCGTACAGAGGCCCATTATCAGCAACCATCAGTCCTGTGTTCCAATGGCACGTTGTGTTTGCTAATCCAAGTTATCATTTTAAAAGGCTAATTGATCATTAGAAAACCCCTTTGCAATTATGTTAGCACAGCTGAAAACTGATTTAAAGAAGCAATAAAACTGCCCTTCTTGGGACTAGTTGAGTATCTGGAGCATCAGCAATTGTGGGTTCGATTACAGGTTCAAAATGTCCAGCAACAAAGAACTTTCTTCTGAAACTCGTCAGTCTATTCTTGTTCTGAAAAATGAAGGCTATTCCATGCGAGAAATTGCCAAGAAACTGAAGATCTCGTACAATGCTGTGTACTACTCCCTTCTCAGAACAGCGCAAACGGACTCTAACCAGAATAGAAAGAGGAGTGGGAGGCCCCGGTGGACAACTGAGCAAGAGGACAAATACATTAGTGTCTAGTTTGAGAAACAGGCGCCTCACAGGTCCTCAACTGGCAGCTTCATTAAATAGTACCCGCAAAACACCAGTCTCAACGTCAACAGTGAAGAGGCGACTCCGGGATGCTGACCTTCTAGGCAGAGTTGCAAAGAAAAAGCCATATCTCAGACTGGCCAATACAAATAAAAGATTAAGATGGGCAAAAGAACACAGACACTGGACAGCGGAAGATTGGAAAAAGGTGTTATGGACAGACTAATCGAAGTTTGAGGTGTTCGGATCACAAAGAAGAACATTTGTGAGACGCAGACCAAAGGAAAAGATGCTGGAGTGCTTGATGCCATCTGTCAAGCATGGTGGAGGCAATGTGATGGTCTGGGGGTGCTTTGGTGGTAAAGTGGGAGATTTGTACAGGGTAAAAGGGTTCTTGAAGAAGGAGGGCTATCACTCAATTTTGCAATGCCATGCCATACCCTGTGGACGGCGCTTGATTGGAGCCAATTTCCTCCTCCAACAGGACAGTGACCCAAAGCACAGCTCCAAACTATGCAATAACTATTTAGGGAAGAAGCAGTCAGCTGGTATTCTGTCTATAATGGAGTGGCCAGCACAGTCACCGGATCTCAACCCTATTGAGCTGTTGTGGGAGCAGCTTGACCGTATGGTATGTAAGAAGTGCCCATCAAGCCAATCCAACTTGTGGGAGGTGCTTCAGGAAGCATGGGGTGACATCTCTTCAAATTACCTCAACAAATTGACAACTAGAATGCCAAAGGTCTGCAAGGCTGTAATTGCTGCAAATGGAGGATTCTTTGACGAAAGCAAAGTTTGAAGGACACAATTAATATTTCAATAAAAAATCATTATTTCTAACCTTGTCAATGACTACATTTCCTATGCATTTTGCTATATTTCCTATTCAAACAATTTCATGTATGTTTTTATGGAAAACAAGGACATTTCTAAGTGACCCCAAACTTTGGAACGGTAGTGTACATCGTCTATACTTCATATATCCATAAGGATCATCCAGGACTTCCCACAATGCCTTTCTCTGAGCACTTTGCTGAAACATGCATTACTTAGAGGGTGGTGATTAACGTACCGCAGCTACCATATAAACATAGTGGAGGGTAACTATTCCATGCACAGTCTGTAGACTTCTGGCAAGATCACAATTGTTGGGAAAGGAATGTTGTGTCTACTATTTTCCTGCTCAATCCAGCCCTGTTATTTCACACCCAGGCTTTAATCTTACCCAGGTGGTTGTCATTATTCAAACCTGCTGTGTTTTTGATTGGCTCTGCAGTTTAACTAGGGACATTTGTCATTTTCATCATGAATAATCATTACGGATTCCCACAGACAATCCTTTGGTGGCGGAGCAGCTAGGGAGCTAAGGGCTAGATTCAATCAGATTGACATCTGCATAGTGTTGTTTTGGCGGTGTCAGAGGTGGAACTGCATTTGAGCTGTCAAATCCACAAGCGGCTCGTTACGTTACCTTATTGCGGACACTGCCATTGAATGCAACGAAACCACGCCACACAAATCCCATGCAGTTCAAACCTCTAATTAGACTGATTAGACTCAGAAATCCACCTATCCAAATTAACATGAAAACATGCATTAGCCTAACATCAATGGTTTCACATTTGAGAGTCATTTCTATCATCAATAGGGCCTACACTTTCTAGCGCCATTATGAACTTCTAAAGCAGTAAGGATAATAAGGAAGGGAGTGGTTTGTGACACACGAGCAGCCGCTCACCGATATGTCAGCTCGTACCACAGTTACACCTCCAACACCGCCAAAACATCTGCTATGCGGATGTCGGCCAACGCTAGTTAATGCTGGTTAACGCTCGATTTGATTTAATCCAGGGCTAAGACTAAGTGGAGGCCTGGAAAACACAGTATTTCCCATCGTTTGAATTCCTGGAGGATTTAGTGGGTAATTGCATCTTTAACCTCAAGAGTTGTCTTTGACGCCTTGCATTTTTCCCTGTACAGTTTCTCCCCACTTGAAACCAACACAGTTCTCTTTTCACATAGTTTCCCTTCCTTAGCTCTATTGTTGTCAACTTGAACTTGGTGCCTTGACTAAGTATCTTATTACCTTGTAGTGATCCTAAAAACTCATTAGAATTGTTATATAATGGAATTTTACATGAAAACAAAGAACCTAGTTTTATCTTATTTCTCCCGCTCAACAAAAGGCTCCAAGCATGTTATTAGCATAGTTAAACACACACATCGTATCATAGACATGCGGCTGAGCCTCCTTCTTCCTGAGTGGCCTTGGTGCGGTGCTGTGCCGTCTTAGACAGTGTGTTAGACAGGCCCCATTAAGGCTGACTCATCCCTCCTCCCCTGAGGGCAGACATGTTTTTCTTCAGCCCTCCAGCTCTGCCTTTCCGTCCAGCACTCCCTCCACTATTACTGTCACACTGTGTATGATCTCTGGATTACACAAGACAAATCTGTTTTAGAGATATTTTATATGAATGTTCGTACTGCACATACTTAGCCTACAAGTTTACCTCTATTGATCTCAGTTGTGCATGAAGCCTGTTACAGAACTGTTGTTTCTGACTGGCTCTCCATGCCACACTTGTATAGTTGTATACACCCATGCTAACGTGTCTCTCTTACACAAACTTTGGATAACCAAGGACCAGTATGGCACCTCTGATCCGTCAACATAACACCATACAGAAAGACCCAACAGGCTACCTTTCACGTTCTCCTCCATATTTCTGTCCCTCTATCACCCCAGAGTTAGAGAGTCTATATTCCAGCTTTTCACAGTGCTTCTGGTTGTGTCTGCTCTGCTCCCACTGCCCACATTGTTGGCAGGAGGGACTTTATTTAGAAGGCTGCAGAGTAGCATTAAAGATAATTGCATGTTGAGGAAGGTCCCTGTAAAAGGTCCCTGTAAAAGGTCCTTAGCTCCATTTAAACTGGAGACATGAGAGAGAGGCACACTACTGCTGGCCAAAGGCTTTTTTAAGCCCTTGTGCTGGGTGGGGTGAGAAGTGTAACTCAATAATATGAAGGTATGCCTTTCCTTGAGCTGCTAACCAAACCCGCTGTAGGCTGCAGATTCTCTCAGAAGGAGGGGAACTTGTCTGACTGAATTCTTACCACCTCTTTGGCCACCATTTTGTGACCACATCCTTAGATTTAATAGTTTATGTTGAAGGTGGGAGGGGGATGTCTTACATTTATGTTTAAGTGATGTAGGAAATGTTGCATTTTAATTTCTTTCGATGAGACATAGGGATTTTTGGGCTTATGGGTCCACACCCAGGCTAACGAAGTAGGTAGTGGGAGACGTGTTGCTGCCATCACCATTGGAATGTTATCAAATGGGCATGGACTGTTGATGAACAGAAAATGTTTTATTTTACGGAAGGCAGTTAGTGCTTAATTCCAAACCATTGCTGTTTCAGGTGCTGATTGGCCAATTAGCTTGACTTTGGCTCATGGATTCTGTAATGGCGCATATGTCATAGACATGCATTGTATAACTAACTGTACACTCCAGGAAATATGCACTTTTCTCACACTTACCAGAGGGAAGTTCACATCACCTCTGGATTCCCCCATGTACTCAAAATCCATGCATATCTCTTTGATTAATTTATTGGGTTTACATTTATACATGTTATCTTATCCAGAGTGACTTACAGTAGTGAGTGCATATATTTCCATACTTTTTCATACTGGTCCCCCCTGGGAATTGAACCCACAACCCTGGCGTTGCAAGATCCATGCTCTACCAACTGAGCCACATGGGACTGGTCCCAGAGGATAAGGCATGAAAGTATTACACAACCGCCATTACCAATGTGGTCCTCTGTACACACTTAGAAAAAAGGGTTCCAAAAGGGTTTTTCAGCTGTCCCCTGGAACCAAAAGGGTTCTACCTGGAACTAGGACTGGGCGATATGGCCTAAAACTCATATCTCCATTTCTTTCTAACGTCACGATATATATCTCAATTTAAAAAAAAGTTATCTCTAAATATGCTTTGTTGCACAATTAAAGGTCAATACACTGCATTTCAAACAGTCAGGAATAATCAAATGAATTCAGGACTTGTTGAATTATACCTAGGCTAAATATAAGCCTTCCACAACCATAAAACCCACTCATTTAGTTATTTGATCAAAATAGTTTAACCTGTTTTTTTGCAATAATCACTGATCTGGCTTTCAAGTCTGTCTATGAAAATTTCCTTTTTGTTACAAATTTAACCAGAACCATGCACAACGCACTCCCATTAATAATGACCAACTTCTGGTAGCAGGCGTTATAGAAAATGAACACAGGTCTCATAAACAATCTCTCTCAAGCACAAGCCCACGTGCTAGTGAGTAGCCAACTTGGATCTATTTGCTTGCTAACAAGGTAGTACCGTTGAACTGTTATGAATACACCCTCCTGTCTGTCTCCAACTGTTTGAACAACATAGCCTGTTCACTTTGTTGACATAGCCTGTTCAAATGCTGCTAGCGGTACGTGGTATCGCAATGCCGCGAGCAACAGATACTGAGCACAAATTTTCCACAATCATGTTAATTGATATTCCCGTTTTAGTAGGGTCTGTTCTGTTCTACATTTTGGGCATTGAGACATAAAGGGTATCGTAAAAGCTGATTTATTGTCATTCCGTCGTCTGCATTGGCCGTACAGCATTTACTGCGATGCAGCCTCTGCAGAAGTCAGGGCATTCATACTTCTTGCGCTACACAGAGCAGAGCTGATGTGAAGTAAGTTGTCAAGGAAGTGAGTTTGTGTTTATACAGGACGTATCGCCCCCACCTACCATCAACCAATCATGTCAATGCGGAGTTATACGGAGCTACAGTGGGGAAAAAAAGTATTTAGTCAGCCACCAATTGTGCCAGTTCTCCCACTTAAAAATATGAGAGAGGCCTGTAATTTTCATCATAGGTACATGTCAACTATGACAGACAAATTGAGGGAAAAAAATCCAGAAAATCACATTGTAGGATTTTTAATGAATTTATTTGCAAATTATGGTGGAAAATAAGTATTTGGTCACCTACAAACAAGCAAGATTTCTGGCTCTCACAGACCTGTAACTTCTTCTTTAAGAGGCTCCTCTGTCCTCCACTCGTTACCTGTATTAATGGCACCTGTTTGAACTTGTTATCAGTATAAAAGACACCTGTCCACAACCTCAAACAGTCACACTCCAAACTCCACTATGGCCAAGACCAAAGAGCTGTCAAAGGACACCAGAAACAAAATTGTAGACCTGCACCAGGCTGGGAAGACTGAATCTGCAATAGGTAAGCAGCTTGGTTTGAAGAAATCAACTGTGGGAGCAATTATTAGGAAATGGAAGACATGCAAGACCACTGATAATCTCCCTCGATCTGGGGCTCCACGCAAGATCTCACCCCGTGGGGTCAAAATGATCACAAGAACGGTGAGCAAAAATCCCAGAACCACACGGGGGGACCTAGTGAATGACCTGCAGAGAGCTGGGACCAAAGTAACAAAGCCTACCATCAGTAACACACTACGCCGCCAGGGACTCAAATCCTGCAGTGCCAGACGTGTCCCCCTGCTTAAGCCAGTACATGTCCAGGCCCGTCTGAAGTTTGCTAGAGTGCATTTGGATGATCCAGAAGAGGATTGGGAGAATGTCAGATGAAACCAAAATAGAACTTTTTGGTAAAAACTCAACTCGTCGTGTTTGGAGGACAAAGAATGCTGAGTTTCATCCAAAGAACACCATACCTACTGTGAAGCATGGGGGTGGAAACATCATTCTTTGGGGCTGTTTTTCTGCAAAGGGACCAGGATGACTGATCCGTGTAAAGGAAAGAATGAATGGGGCCATGTATCGTGAGATTTTGAGTGAAAACCTCCTTCCATCAGCAAGGGCATTGAAGATGAAACGTGGCTGGGTCTTTCAGCATGACAATGATCCCAAACACACCGCCCGGGCAACGAAGGAGTGGCTTCGTAAGAAGCATTTCAAGGTCCTGGAGTGGCCTAGCCAGTCTCCAGATCTCAACCCCATAGAAAATCTTTGGAGGGAGTTGAAAGTCCGTGTTGCCCAGCGACAGCCCCAAAACATCACTGCTCTAGAGGAGATCTGCATGGAGGAATGGGCCAAAATACCAGCAACAGTGTGTGAAAACCTTGTGAAGACTTACAGAAAACGTTTGACCTGTGTCATTGCCAACAAAGGGTATATAACAAAGTATTGAGCAACTTTTGTTATTGACCAAATACTTATTTTCCACCATAATTTGCAAATAAATTCATAAAAAATCCTACAATGTGATTTTCTGGATTTTTTTTCCCCATTTTGTCTGTCATAGTTGACGTGTACCTATGATGAAAATTACAGGCCTCTCTCATCTTTTTAAGTGGGAGAACATGCACAATTGGTGGCTGACTAAATACTTTTTTCCCCCACTGTATATGGAGCCCCCCACATTGTTACAAAATTTGGGAGGTGCACGGTGACGTGGTACGGTGCTTGATTTGGCCTCCGCAAGCCTCCAGAGGCTCCGCAATTGCGTCACACCATCCGTATGGAGCCTCTGGACCACAAATCACAAACAACATAAATTGGGTTTTAGAAAGTTTAAGTTCTCCTCTATTAACAGTAAAATTGTCTCAATGTGTTTCGGTGTCCATATGACCGATTTCTGTTGGACCAAACCTCAAATGCAAATAGTGAGTTGAAGCTGCTTGTTGGCAGAGAGGAAGAAGTGCTCTTTCGTCTTTGTTGTTGTGAGGGGCAGGGGGAGGGGCTTGGTGCGCAAGTGGGAAGGTGCACAGTGCACACAGCACAGAAGGAGCGAAGCAGATGAGACCAAAAATACATTAAAACCTTGATTCTTGAGATACAGGCATTTGGAACATTGCGAGAAATACAATTGAATTAATTTGAGATATCACCCAGACCTACCTGGAACCAAAAAGGGTTCTTCAAAGGGTTATCCTATGGGGCCAGCCGAAGAACCCTTTTAGGTTCTAGATGGCACCTTTTTTTCTAAGAGTGTACAGACAGACAGTTACTTACTTATATCACTCTACTTCGATCTCCCTTTCCCTCCCTCCCTCTCTCTCTTTCTCTATCGCTCTATTTACCTTCGTGGTGGAAGCCCCTCACAGTGTTGGCGCGGCTAGCCGACCTCTCGGGGTACTCAAAGGTGGTGTCGTGGGCGCCGGCCTCCTCAGCCTCGCCCGACTGCAGCCGGTAGAGGTCCAGCAGGTAGCGTGGCACGGTGGCCAAGCGGCTGGGCCGCGGTCGCCTCTGCAGCCCAAACATGTGCAGCAGCGTGGCCTCAAAGTCCCGCAGCAGTTCATGGCTCTGACCAGCCGTCCGACTCTGCAGGCCCGGGGCTTTCTTCTTCCCTTCCTCAGGTATCAGACTAGCATGGTTGCTCTCTCCCAGCAGGACTTGGCATAATAAAATGACCATCAGCATTCGATTACCAGGAATCATGATGTCTCTGGGAAGGCAAAAACAGAGCAAAAAGAAATTAGGGGAGTGTGAGAGAGAGGAAAAAGAGACCTCTGTTTTAAGTGACATTTGATTTGTCTACCCTTCCTACCTCTCCTTCTTTTTCCAACATAACCTCCACCCTATTGGACACTTCACTAATGTTTTCACTGTATAGGTGCTCTAATTGGTTATAATTGTCCTGTCTGGCTTATTTACAGTAAAATGTCCTACGATCAGATATCCCCCCTATCCTCCAAGAGTAAACAACTGGTTGAAGAACACAGCTTTTTGAACGGAATCTGAGGGCCATTCCTTTTACCCCCTCCTCCTCCCTCTCTCCCTCCTTCTCCCTCTCTTCCTCTCTCTCCCTCCTCCACTATGATTAGACAAATAGGAGAAACAGCCCTGGGGTCAAAGCAAATTCTTAACTCGATAAGTAGCCCAGTCCCTCAGTCTACCCCGACCAATCAAAGTCAAACAAAGGACCATGTGCCACACATTTCACCAACAATTCCTCTGTAGAAGTCAGACTAGACACTCTTCCATTTTACTAATCTAGTCATTTAAATGTAAAATATGACAAACCTCAAATCAATCTTCTGAGAAAAGCAAAGGGAGAAATGCAGAAAGATGTGGCAATGGTGTCACATGGCATAAATTGAATTGGCCTGGTCCACTTACCGACAGAAAATAAAGCATGGGAAAACAGTCCATGTTTGTTGGGAGCCGGCAATGGTCGCGTTCCTCAAGGAAATGTTACGTGTTGCTGGGGGGCTGCTTGAGAGCGTTGGAGTGACCCTGTTCCTGAAATATACAGAAGAGAAAAGGGACATTGTAGTTATTGTAGTCTAGTGTAGAGGCAAATACTTCTGGCTTTATCTTAACGTATGTGTGTCAAATCAAATCAAATTGTATTTGTCACATGCACTGAATACAACAGGTGTAGACTTTACCATGTCCCCTGTAGCTCAGTTGGTAGAGCATGGCGCTTGCAACGCCAGGGTTGTGGGTTCGTTTCCCACGGGGGGCCAGTAGGAAAATGTATGCACTCACTAACTGTAAGTCGCTCTGGATAAGAGCATCTGCTAAATGACTCAAATGTAAATGCTTACTTACAAGCTCTTTGCCAACAATGCAGTGTGTGTGTGTAACCCAGTCTCTCTTTATTAAGCCTTATCACATAGAAACGTGGGGTAAAAGGTTACGTTAATGTTCTCTATAGTGTATCTGGTATGTCGAGTAAGGAAACCGACTACCCTTCAAAGAGCAGTTCAGAGTTCACAGAAGTTTGATGCCCTTTCAGACACCACACATTAAATAGGACAGAAAATTTAAGCAGCCAAAACATTTCATGTAACAATTAAGTGAGCAATATGCAAATTCAATATTTTTCACTTCAAATACGAATTTCTAACTTCAGCAGACATATTTCAGAGATCAGGCCACAGCATCCCTCTATGCTCTATAAGCAATTTGTCTGTCAATTAAAAGTAGGCCCAAGTCATTGTAGAGAGCATGGCTTTACGTAAACACTGCCTTGTCTATGCAGAACAGACAGACAGTGTAGATGGACCCTCTCTTGTCCTCCCTCCTCATTAAGGCCAGCTATCTGATGGTTCATGATTGCTCTGTATTGATTAATAGGGGATCAATCTGCATCCCAATGACCGGGTCCATTTGTCAACAAAGGGGGCCCAAACTACTTTTTCTAGAAACTTAGAGTAACCCCACCGACCCCGACCTCTGATCACCCATCTAAGTGCACTGCACCCATCAAAAAGGGACCCTCCTCTTCTCCCTCCTTCTCTCTGTTGTCCTGAGATCTGTGGAGCCGCTGATGACAGGCCTGCTACTCTGCTCTTTGACCACACTGGCATCAATAAGCCTAAGCCCAACCACCATGGACTCAGACAAGTACTAATGCGTCTCTATATGCTGTCCTCCTGTCCTGCCCACTATAGTGTACGTCAGACATAGTGTTAGTAAATATCTTTAATGCTACAGTATATAGTATATATAGTATATCTGTACTGTAGTCTCAAACCTGTGTGATCTGAGTTTGTTGTACCTGGAGGTTTGTCTTTCAAACCTGGTCAAAAGCATCATTTTGCTGTGTGTGTGTATTTTATTATTATTATTTTTTTTCTGCACAAGAATTGCCTTTCGGGAACAATAAAGATCTATTGAATTGAATTTAATTGAATTGAATTGAATTGAATAGAACCTTGTTTTTCCAGACCAGACAGACTTCACACAAATTCACCACTGCAGTATACCAACAAGAATCAAAGCACAAGTCTATTAATCACAATTTGTTATGCAATACGATTCACTCAAGTGTCATGGCAAGGCAGGTCTAGAACTGAGACAATTCTATCCAATGCCTCTACACACAGCGTTCTGTCCTTTTTAGATGGTTTACGCCCATTCTGTGGATCTACGACATCACAACCGGAGGGACTTGGCCCTAATGAATCGCTTGCTTAAACACACATTGCTGAATCACACTAATAAAATTAAAGAGTGTTTGTGAAATAGGGCCTGCGCAAACAACAGTACCACAGAGCAGACACTTCAACTCAATATTTTGTAATTTTCGAGCCCATTCCACTAGAACTGGGATGTGTTCCTCTGGAACTGTGTGTGTGTCTGGGTTCATATCTGTGTGTTTCTTTTTCTCTCCATGGCTCACTGTACATGCAATCAAGGAAATATTTTTCATTTTTTGTAACAAGAATTAGATGTTGACCTTTGTGTGACCTCATGTTCTCGGTCGTGACACAAGGTCCTGTGTTGTGTGTGTGTGTGTTTGTGTCTACCAGTCCGTGAGAACCATGGTGAAGAGGCAGTAGGGTTCTGAACATGATCAGCTCTATTACCCATGGGGTGGGGGGATAACGTGTGTGCATCCCTGACAACAAACGCTCATTGTGCCGAGAGGGCCTCTCTATGATTACAGCGATTCAAACCACTCAAAACGAAACAGTGACTACAGAACTTCTTACAGTAATGACTGACAGAGCCACTTACTAAGTTGATGGATTCACCAAGTAGGTTGATGACAGTACTAGCTGTTCTAAAGAGCATATAGGGATGTAACCAACAATGATACAATGATGCTCATCACATTTCTCCCTTGTTCTCCTATTATATTGTAAAGAGCATATACAGTGGCTTGCGGAAGTATTCACCCCCCCCCCCCCCCCCCCCCCCCCTTGGCATTTTTCAAATTTTGTTGCCTTACAACCTGGAATTAAAATGGATTTTTTTGGGGGGGGGGTTGTATCATTTGATTTACACAACATGCCTACCACTTTGAAGATGCACAATTCTTTTTTTATTGTGAAACAAACAAGAAATAAGACAAAAAAACAGAACTTGAGCGTGCATAACTATTCACCCCCAAAGTCAATACTTTGTAGAGCCACCTTTTGCAGCAATTACAGCTGCAAGTCTCTTCAGGTATGTCTCTATAAGCTTGGCACATCTAGCCACTGGCAAAACTGCTACAGCGCCTTCAAGTTGGATGGGTTCCGCTGGTGTACATCAATCTTTAAGTCATACCACAGATTCTCAATTGGATTGAGGTCTGGGCTTTGACTAGGCCATTCCAAGACATTTAAATGTTTCCCCTTAAACCACTCAAGTGTTGCTTTAGCAGTATGCTTAGGGTCATTGTCCTGCTGGAAGGTGAACCTCTGTCCCAGTCTCAAATCTCTGGAAGACTGAAACAGGTTTCCCTCAAGGATTTCCCTGTATTTAGCGCCATCCATCATTCCTTCAATTCTGACCAGTTTCCCAGTCCCTACCGATGGAAAAACATCCCCACAGCATGATGCTGCCACCACCATGCTTCACTGTGGGGATGGTGTTCTCGGGGTGATGAGAGGTGTTGGGTTTGCGCCAGACATAGCGTTTTTCTTGATGGCCAAAAAGCTCAATTTTAGTTTCATCTGACCAGAGTACCTTCTTCCATATGTTTGGGCAGTCTCCCACATGCCTTTTGGCGAACACCAAACATGTTTTGCTTATTTTTTACCATTAAGCAATGGCTTTTTTCTGGCCACTCTTCCGTAAAGCCCAGCTCTTTGGAGTGTACGGCTTAAAGTGGTCCTATGGACAGATACTCCAATTTCCGCTGTGGAACTTTGCAGCTCCTTCAGGGTTATCTTTGGTCTCTTTGTTGCCTCTCTGATTAATGCCCTCCTTGCCTGGTCTGTGAGTTTTGGTGGGCGGCCCTCTCTTCGCAGGTTTGTTGTGGTGCCATATTCTTTCCATTTCTTAAATAATGGATTTAATGGTGCTCCGTGTGATGTTCAAAGTTGTGGATATTTTTTTATAACCCAACCCTGATCTGTACTTCTCCACAACTTTGTCCCTGACCTGTTTGGAGAGCTCATTGGTCTTCATAGTGCTGCTTGCTTGGTGGTGCCCCTTGCTTAGTGGTGTTGCAGACTCTGGGGCCTTTCAGAACAGGTGTATATATACTGAGATCATTTGACAGGTCATGTGACACTTAGATTGCACACAGGTGGACTTTATTTAACTAATTATGTGACTTCTGAAGGTAATTGGTTGCACCAGATCTTATTTAGGGGCTTCATAGCAAAGGAGGTGAATACATATGCACGCACCACTTTTCCGTTATTTATTTTTTTGAATTTTTTGAAACACGTTATTTGTTTCATTTCACTTCACCAATTTGGACTATTGTGTGTATGTCCATGACATGAAATCCAAATAAAATGCATTTAAATTACAGGTTGTAATGCAACAAAATAGGAAAAACGCCAAGGGGGAAGAATACTTTTGCAAGGCACTGTAGGATGTAACCAACAATGATACAATGATGCTCATCACATTTCTCCCTTGTTCTCCTATTATATTGTAATAGGAGAGTGTCTAGAATGATAAATAACAATATGTTTGAACAATTACAGATATACATAACTCTTCCTTTTATTCGGTTATTCTGGGTTATTCAGCTCACCAGCTGTGTGGCAGGCCTAAAGTAGAGGAGAGGTACAGTTAGGAAGAAAGCGTAACATCCACAGTCTGAGTTTTGAACCGAACAAGAGACAGCGCCATATTTTGCAATGAATGTACTGTAGCCCAGGGTGCAATTAGGCCTGGCAGTTTGCTTCCTCTGGTTTGGCCTAGTCCTCCTCCTCCCTAGGCCTCCCTGTATTTGACTTCCCTCTGTCTCCTCCTCCCTCCCCCCTCTCTCTAACCAGAGATAATGTGATCAGACTATGCACATGGTGCTTTAGATGTGTTTCCTGAGGAATTTGACAGGGATGGTGGGAGGGGAGCAGGTTACCACGGGAACAGACAATAGTCCAGGGCCCAATTTTACTGTTTTAGCCCAAACTTCTCAGGCTGGTATTTCCTTACTTTGCACATTAAGTATTCCAGCAGCATTCATATTCCATGTTTTTTTTAATTGTTGAATAATTTTTTTTTTTTTTTTTTGAAAAATAAAATACAGTATGAAGGTTGAGTCGTTAAAACACTAAAAGTCAAGGTTCTCGTTGTTTTACAATGCTTTGTAAATAATTGGGTGAGTTGGGTAGGCCCTATCTATACAATCATGAATAATATAACTTTAGATTAATGTTGCTCTCAACATGTTGTATTTGCTCCCTATAATAATGAACGAAAAATAGACGAACAAAACAATTGGGTTTGGCAATGTCAAGTACTCTACGTTGATTTACACAATAGCCTATTCTCTCCGCGCTCCCGGCAGTTTGTTCTGATATGTATAACCCCTTATGATCCAATTTTAAATTCTGCTTTTTTCCCCTTTTTGCTCAGTTTTTTTTCTTCTTCTCCCTAAGCTGTAAGCATGGGTCTGTTTGTACTTAGCAAGGAGGCCAACTTCTCAAAATTAAGAACAGAGACGTTTACTCTTACTGTCAGCTGCATGCCCAAATCCTCTCTTATAATTAACTTGCTGTAAACTGTGGAATTGTGGTGGAATCATTAATCATCAAATCATTCATTTAAACAAACGAGTAATGTAATGATTTAACAAATTCGAATATGTTGGATGCAGATTGAACAGTGCAAGGGTACATGTGTCGAGGAGGCCAGAATGAGTCCATAGGCATGTAAATAAATATTTCCTCTCCCTTATTGTATTAATGAGCTTTTCAAGAAAAATGTCTAAATTCGATACATAGATCTTGATATTTTGTGTATGTGAGCCATTTGTTTGTTTGTAGTAGCAGTTTGTATTGTAAAGGGTTTAATTGTTTGTTCTTATAACACGTTGGAGATAATTGGCATCGAAATTAGGCATCGAAATTATCATTTTAAAAGAATTAAGAAATATGCTTTGACATTTGAGAAATCTAAAATCACCTAATTGAACTGCAGAGCACAGCTAAATGTACGCATGGAAGACCAGTGTCTCTTTGTCCCAGGGTGTCTATTCAATGAATGTAGATTTCGATTATAAGGAGTCAGTCCATAATCTGACGAATCTGTAACAACCTGGCGATGAATGTTTTGATGTAAAAGTGAGGGCAGCCATTCCAAACGGTTCCAAAATGGGAAATACGCGCACTAGTTACTGTGCGTGCAGGTGCCTAAAAACCCCAGTGCCAACCCCCCCAAAAAAATTATACTAATGCAACAGTTAACTCCCAAAGCAAGTATTCTTATCATTCTTTAGTAGAAAATTACCTCATTCGTTTTTCCATGTTAAACAATTTCTGGCACAATTGTCCAAGCGTGCGTTAGGATAGTCGGTGATCACTTTATTTCACTTGGGGGCAAATACATTTCATGAAGTAGCTACAGTAATCGAATGAAATGCAATGGGCTACATTTAATGTTCAGTGTCACGAACATGAGCCTCTGTTGTTAGGCTGATATTATTTATTACCAATGCTATTTCAATCATTGACATTTCATGGGAAGAAAATATCAGCCTAATGTAGCTCATCGGAGTCTAAACTGGATACGGAAGAACTATGTAGGCTGATCTTGTAGGCTACGTGTATAGAGTTGGCGTCATTTAAAAGGCTATAATTGTTTTGTCAATTTAATCGCATTCGAATATGCCACAGATATGAAGTTCAGCGGCGCTTACCATTAGTAGGGGTACATGTAGTATCCTCGATAAAAGTAAATATGACAAATGAAAGTGCGAGCTCTCCCCATGCAATGGAAGTCCAGGTGTAAAGCATGTACTGAAAACGCCGAATGAACTTATGGAGAAGTACGGTGGTTCCTTCGGATCATTAATTCCTTAACGACCCCTCTAAAAAACAAGAGGCGAGAGAGACGATGGCCGGAGACAGAGGCGGTTTGAAGCAGCTTAGGTTTGCAGCGGGGTTCCCATCTCCTGAAGTTCATGGGGGCGGCACACTGCGCGAACAGGCGGACTCTCCAACTGATCAAGCATCTATTGCCCCTTGCCGTTTTTATGTGTCCGCCCTATTTAGCCTTCCTGCTTCCTCCTACCCCTCTCCAACCCCATCCCGCTGTCTCAAACACCTTAGATAAACCCCCTCCCCTCTCTCTCGACTTAAAAGAAGAGAACACACATTGTGCGCAATTTGGGCCTATAATACATTTAAACTTTCTAATATTATTCTGTACATGATTGAAATATTACGTGTTATTTTGAGATATTTGACACTTCCATATTTGTATTTCAAAATGTAATTTGTCTAAAATATGTAATACAACATTGCTACCCTGCAACTAATTATTATTATTATTTTTCGTGCGCTCTGTCCTAGAGTGCGCGCGCGTTCTTGTGTTTTGACTGCGTTCATCTGCATTTTTAGGTCACCACATAAATAAGCCAATCTGTATTTTTGGACTGATGTGCGCATATGAGATCCCACATAAGATCCATCACATAGCTAATATCGACATAATTATGCGTCCATTAAGCCTTTATATCCCCTCCTCAATGCCTGTCATTGATAATGGATAAACTCTCTGTTCCCATTCCTGAGCCTCTCTGTTTATTGTGTTCCTATGGAAACGATCCTCTGGGGTTCAAGGAAGATTTCTTTTTCAGAGGTATGGTAAAAATGAGTTTGGAATACAGTATAAAGGACTACCATGTGGTGTGACAAATGTGCATGCCATGGACAGTGGAATAGAACGTGTCTTACTACATTTTCACCTGAATATTCCTCTCTAAATCTACTTCTGAAATATTTCACATATTAAGCAACCATCAGACAACAGTTGAAGTCGGAAGTTTACATACACTTAGGTTGGAGTCGTTAACTCGTTTTTCAACCACTCCACAAATGTCTTGTTAGCAAACTATAGTTTTGGCAAGTCGGTTAGGACATCTACTTTGTGCATGACACAAGTAATTTTTCCAACAATTGTTTACAGACAGGAAATTTCACTTATAATTCACTGTATCACAATTCCAGTGATTCAGAAGTTTACATAAACTAAGTTGACTGTGCCTTTAAACAGCTTGGAAAATTCCAGAAAATGATGTCATGGATTTAGAAGCTTCTGATAGGCTAATTGACATCATTTGAGTCAATTGGAGGTGTACCTGTGGATGTATTTCAAGGCCTACCTTCAAACTCAGTGCCTCTTTGCTTGACATCATGGGAAAATCAAAAGAAATCAGCCAAAACCTCAGTAAAAATTTTGTAGACCTCCACAAGTCTGGTTCATCCTTGGGAGCAATTTCCAAACGGCTGAAGGTACCACGTTCATCTGTACAAACAATAGTACTTAAGTATAAACACCATGGGACCACGCAGCCGTCATACTGCTCAGGAAGGAGACACGTTCTGTCTCCTAGAGATGAACGTACTTTGGTGCGAAAAGTGCAAATCAATCCCAGAACAACAGCAAAGGACCTTGTGAAGATGCTGGAGGAAACGGGTACAAAAGTATCTATATCCACAGTAAAACGAGTCCTATATCGACATCACCTGAAAGGCCGCTCAGCAAGGAAGAAGCCACTGCTCCAAAACCACCATAAAAAAGACAGACTACGGTTTGCAACTGCACATGGGGACAAAGATCGTACTTTTTGGAGAAATGTCCTCTGGTCTGATGAAACAAAAATAGAACTGTTTGGCCATCATGACCATCGTTATGTTTTGGAGGAAAAAGGGGAACGCTTGCAAGCCGAAGAACACCATCCCAACCGTGAAGCACGGGGGTGGCAGCATCATGCAGGAGGGACTGGTGCACTTCACAAAATAGATGGCATCATGAGGAAGGAAAATTATGTGGATATATTGAAGCAACATCTCAAGACATCAGTCAGGAAGTTAAAGCTTGGTCACAAATGGGTCTTCCAAATGGACAATGACCCCAAGCATACTTCCAAAGTATTGGCAAAATGGCTTAAGGACAACAAAGTCAATGTATTGGAGTGGCCATCACAAAGCCCTGACCTCAATCCTATAGAACATTTTGTGGGCAGAACTGAAAAAGTGTGTGCGAGCAAGGAGGCCTACACACCTGACTCAGTTACACCAGCTCTGTCAGGAGGAATGGGCCAAAATTCACCCAACTTATTGTGGGAAGCTTGTGGAAGGCTACCCAAAACGTTTGACCCAAGTTAAACAATTTAAAGGCAATGCTACCAAATACTAATTGAGTGTATGTAAACTTCTGACCCACTTGGAATGTGATGAAAGAAATAAAAGCTGAAATAAATCATTCTCTCTACTATTATTCTGACATTTCACATTCTTAAAATAAAGTGGTGATCCTAACTGACCTAAGACAGGGAATTTTTACTAGGATTAAATGTCAGGAATTGGGAAAAACTGAGTTTAAATGTATTTGGCTAAGGTGTATGTAAACTTCCGACTTCAACTGTACATTAATGAAAGCTTGTAAGATGGTTGAGTGATAATACAAAAATGATGTACCCCACACTATACACTCCATAGTTGAAAAATCCTTGTTGACTGGTAATGGTTAAACAAGCATTGTTGCTTCACCTTACCCCATGGCCTTTCAGGACCAGTTAAGTCTTTAAGACACATTTTTTAAAGACTGCAGCGCAGAGAAATTGGCAACAATGAATCTTAAAGCCTTAAATCTGCTCTGGATCTCTCTGGCCAGGGTCACGTAAGCGTCCTGAGAAATGCACTCCTAGTGAGGGGATTAGGCTGAGACTGAACAGTGGTCTAAACAGGAAGCGTTGGCGGTTGGCAGGGGAACCTAAAGCAAACGGCCGCCGTTGTTTCTCACGCTGTATTTACTTTTGGTTCCACTGTAGGCCTACATTAGTCCTCCAAGTGGTTTCTGTTTGCTTGGTGTTGACTTTTGCCTAGTTATTATATTATATGTGCCTCATAGGCATCCAGAGTGTCTTGTGGCTTTGTATGGAAAGCTCATTGCACTGTTAGTTAATGACTGTCTTGCCTCAGACATAAATCTCCATGCAAAGTGGATATGCAAAAACTGCAGCTAAACGGTGTAGTATTTGTGTTTTTTGGACAGTCTTTGTGACTCCGAGGGCCTAATATACAATACGTTACCTTCTAATGCATTTCTTCTGCATGACAATGCCACTGGCTGGACAAAGGCTACACGGACCTGTGAGACTGACTGACTCTTATCACGTGACATTACTAATTGCTTTGTCTCTGTCTCTGGGGTTTTTATAGACTGTAGACCACCAGCAGTTTGCATTCAAATGCGACCAATAGTTGACTGTGTAAACAAATAATGTTATTGTACATCTATTACTGGTAACAGTTGTTGGTGATACACCTGGAGGATACGAGACTTCTGCAATATATTCAGTCTGGCGTAAACAGGATTGTATTTTGCAACAAAATATTTGAAGGTTTATATGTTTTAATGTCATTTTTTAACAGTTTAATAAGCTGATGTATAGTTTGAAGTAGGAGGGCTAATGGAGGACCGGACCTCTACATCCATTAGGTCTCCAGGGAGCAGCTCAGCTCTTCAACTCTCCATCTCACAGCAGCTGTGCACACAGCCAGCACGGGTCATCAGAGTGCGACACACTCGCGGTCCTTTCCCTCCACACTAGCCGTGGCAAGCAGCCCAGCCAATGAAGACATCAGCAGAATGAGCAAGGAGATGTTGAGAGGGTCTATCGTAGGTCACAAGGTGATTGCTGGAAATTGAAGATTTGGGGGGGAGAACATTTTGGCTGTAGGAGCATCTCGGTTTTTGATCTCACATCGGCATGCAGAAATTGACATATAGAGTGAAGGGCTCCTCTGGAAGCAATTCAACTGGCTGCAACAGCGTGGTCAGCAATCCCAGTAATCAACAAATCAAAAGCATTTCCCTCTTAAAGGTTGCTATTAAATATATTCTTCATGCTGTCCGTGGTTTCCGCCAGACTCCCTCAGATATTTGTGAATGATTTCCTCCTTATCAACTGTCTCTTCCAGAACATTTGGCCTGTTTGGGATCAATCCCATCTCCAAAACATTTCAGCTTGATGAGTCAATCAAGTGTATTACACAATAACATGGACAGACAGATGATGAAATGCAGACAAGCATGCATGAAGAGGGGAAACAAAAGAAAGTAATCCCATTCCCTCAGTTGGAAGGAAGAGTGGAGGGAGTAGTTGTTCTGGGTCCACAGGGGCCTTCAGAAGACCCTAGGGGGCCAGTGAAGATCCTCGATCCTCCCACTCTGGAGGGATGAGAGCTTTGCTGGGATGGGATACGGTGCAGGCCTGGTGGGGCTGTGGCTGAGGGCACCTGGCTGTGGGTCTCTAATGGAGGTCCACTCCCAGGCGTTGACCGGGCTTAGCCCCACTGAGCTCCCTCAGATCCCTCTGAGATTACCAACCCTGGGTGGTTCAGCCCTACAGGCACTGGCTGCACAACCACCACCCATCCCACAGTCACGGAGAGGGCCACGTCAATTTACTCTCCCAAACTGATTTTAAAAAATACAACATTAACCATACTTTACTTTTCGCTTATTGTAGTAGCATTTGTCTTTTTTTGTGAGCATGCTGAGCTGAATCATCAGGTGACATCTGTCATTGGGCAATTGAGAAGGTCAACAGTCCTGTGCCGGTGCATTTGGTGAGACAGTGGATGACTTCACCTCCACAGCTATGAGTCACTAAATCCTGCTTGGAGCCACTCACCTGTGAATCAATAGCAGCTCAAAGGGGACCTTGAAGTGCAAACCCCCGGCCTGGTGTCATATAACACCCTTAGTTTTCTCTTATTTTTTCTGACACTCAGTGAAGTATTCATTAGTGCAGACACGCGCCATGGCCATTGATCAAATATAGCTTTCACTATAGGTTCCAGGCATCTCACTGGAACATTCTTCAACCCAGCCGCCTCTCGTTTCTGGGTAATGGTCTGTGCCACAGCGCGTTTGGCCAGTAATCCCTTAACTCAGCCCATGGGTCTCAAAGCCTGTAAGTGGCAG